TTCCATTAACGAGTTTCCAAGAAAAGCTGAGTTCAAAACACACTCGACTTTATCGACCTTTAAAGATCACAACGAAGGTCAAACCTGAGTCAGTACTTTACCTTAGTCTTGACAAACAGTTGGATGCGGCGTTCAGGAAATGACTTCAAAGCTCGTAAAAAAAGAGAAAGCACCCATTCAACGGACTCTGTAACAGCTGTGGGGAGTGATAAAGACACAATGGCGAAGTAAAAGGGGGCGAGATTTGAAAAGATCCCACAGAAATACCGGTTGGGAAGGATCGGTACTGTAAGCATATCTGTCAGGTTACACTTGTAAATCTGTGAAATTATATTTCATAATAAGTAGGTCGCGAAAGAGACAAAATTTCCCTTGATCATATATCCGTTGATTCTAAATGATTATCATTATACATGGTGACGTTGCATATGTTGTGTAAAAGCTTGTAAATTTTCCTTTCAAATTGTGTCTCATTTGTTATAATCAGGCTTTTATGCATGCAATGTGCACCATGGATCAGGCATGATTGGTGTCGCCCTCAGAAGTGCCCAAAGAAGTCCCACTGTCAACGTCAAACAACGTCATCATTTTTTTGACGCTCTCAAATGTAGGATCATGACAAATATATTATCGTTGTGGGGTCGTGTGGCGTAGCGGCAGAGTGCGCGACTCGGAACTGAGAGTCCCGGGTTCGAGTCCTGACATGCCACCGGTCTTGTGCCCTTGGGAAAGGCACTTTACACGGCTTTCCTCACTTAGCTCAGGTGTAAATGAGTATTGTCCTGTCATGTATTTGTCCCCTGTGTTGGTGGCGGCATTAATATAAGTTGAAGAAACTTATGTGTGTCGTCACCACGTCTGGTGATTACATGTTGGAATAAATAAAAAAAAATATTATCGTTGTAAAGGATGATGAATACGGTTTTCAATGATACGTGATACTGAACAATCAATGAAGTAAAACGGAAATATGATGGATCAAATTCAAGTTTGCGAAGTTTTTGTGTTGAGATTATAATGAATGAATAAATGAATGAATGAATGAATGAATGAATGAATGAATAAATGAATAAATGAATGAATGAATGAATGAATGAATAAATGAATGAATGAATGAATGAATGAATGAATGAATGGATGGATGGATGGATGGATGAATGAATGAACGAATGAATGATTGAATGAATGAATGAATGAATGAATGAATGAATGAATGAACATGATCAAGACGATAGTCATCTTCTATCCTATCTAACTTAAAGTATTCACAAATCCGTTGTTCCATGGGAGTGCGGTTATGACTTCCTGTGTCAATGTGAAGTTTGCGGCAGCTGGTCCACAGTTTTGTGACAGCAGTCCTGGGCTAATGTCTCCATTGCTTGCATGAGATGTTCTTGGAATGTTGGACTGGAGGCTTGATTGTGTGGTGCTGAAAAATGCATAGCTCTCTAATGTTATGACAAACAACATACGGTCAGAAGAAGAAACAAAATGTTACTCTTTCGCAACTTTAATGCCCCATTTTGCCTATCATTACAAATCAATGATATTTTTAAGTGCCTTTGATTTGTAAAAAAAAAGTCCAAAAAAATTGTCAGGAAATGGTATGAAATAATCCAAGTTACGGCTGTCAAATTTCATTCAGCTTTCTCGCTCTTTAAATTACAATAAGTTCAAAACTTTTCTGCTTGGATAAATTCACCTTGTTGATTTCTTTGCCATGGTCCGTTATATTCCAGTCTTCTTGCGCGCCTTCGCATTGGCACCTGCAGCATGAACTATATATATGTATATATATATACTACCCACCCTGAAGTCAAGGCGTGAGGATGCTGCCGTGAAACTCTTTACACAATTGTACAAATGCTCCAGGACGACCATCCCCTACATGACCTTGTCCCTGCCTCTAGATCATCAGCTACTGGACGTTCTCACAGAAACAAAAACACCATCTCCATCCCCCCCTCCCAGGCAGAACAAAAATATTTAATTTAATACTTCAGAACTCTTCCCTACATCAGTCCATCAGACTCTACAATCAGACTATATAATGAGAATGTTACGTGTTATGTCTGGGATGTACAGTTCATATTAGAAGTAGGTATATATTTGTGTATGTATGTACATGTATGTCATCGCAATGTCATGTTATGTGTTTGTTTTATCATAATGATTGTAAATATCAATGTCATTCAGGCAACATTATATGTATGCCTGCAATGTTGATATAATAATAAAGAATTGAATTGAATAGTCTTTTTTCTCGGGGTTTGCGTAATAGCCCAGCGTGTAGCTGTTGGTGCCTCTGCGAATCACCCCCCTCTCTCATTCTTACCTTCGAAGGTTATGTTTTGCAGTGGCGTTCAGGCCAGCAAAATTAAGAAGGTCCGAATGGATGATATTTGGTATGTCTGTAGGTCTTTGAAATACACTTTGAAATACAGGGTGATTATGGACCTCCTTGTGGCTAATCTTGGTACTGCAGGTCAACTCCCGGTTTTGTATCTATTGTCTATCTATTGGGTATTCTATGGTCTTTTATTTTTTTGGTGATATAATTATGTCTGTTATCATGGAAAGAAAAAGAGGTGGTCTCCCTAGCTGTTTGCTCTGGAACTGCAGAGGGTAAGTCAAGAACGGAACGACGGATTTTTATGATTTCTGTAGGCAACTTATATAGATTACTAGATGCAAATAACGACATAAATTTGCATAATTAATGAGGTAATTCTATCTATATGATTCCAGTGTTTCAAAAATGTTATAAATTCAGTGTTTTACACAATGCTACATGTAAACATGCGCACTTACAAGTCTTTTCATGAAGGAAAACTGTGCAAAGCTTCCTTTTTCTCTTTTCTTTTCTACCTACTCCGATTGACTTGTCAGCAGATTTTTGCACGTTTTCAACATGGAGCTCCATGGTTTTGAGTAGTCTGACATGTATTTGTTACGTTTTTATGTATACGTCTTTACGTTTGTTACGTCTGGGGGAGAGAGGAATGTGTGATTGTTTTTGAAAGATTCTGTGTTTCAAACAGTCTTCAGTGACTGTGAACTACCGAGGTGTGATGCCTTGTTCAGATTAGTTACTATATATGTGCATGTGTGATACCTACAGATTAATTCTTACTAGTAGCAGCCAGGCCGTTGGAATTCATGACCTGACCGATAAAGACAGATTGAGGCAATGGCGTCGGTGCTGGCACGGTCTGTTGCTTCCTTCTCTCGAGCTGATATCAGATACAATTGCTCAGCCAGGCAGCCAGGCAGCCAGGCAGGCAGTGGAAAGAAATTCGTAAAATGCTTCATCTGGGGTCCGGCCAGGGTGAAGACGACATGACTGCTAACGTTACTTGTGACCAGTGTACCATACCAGTGCATCAAAACTGAAGATACTGTGCATAATGAAAGCTTTATGCTATTGACATTAACAGGCACTTTTATTACATTTTCTGCATTTCCAAATGTTTCAAAAGAGAAACACTGTTACGAGAAATGTTTAAAGAAGAAAGGGACAGTTCAGTGACTTAAGACCGTCCTCTATCAATATAGTCTTCACGCAATATTTTTGGGTAATACTTGTGCTCACTCTTATGTTTAGTTTCCTTCGTTTCTATCCTCTTTGTATTCGCTGACTTCGTTTCTTATTCCACTACTTTAGAATCAATACTAGACATTTTATAGTTTTTTTCTTGGGTTTGGTCCGTTGCCAAAAATGCCAAAAATGTGCGAGCTTTACATTGCTTAACGCTATGTAAAACTAAAATTGCCTCGAGCATGTATACCGATAGCGTCAATTACTACTTACTGTAATCAATCAATTCAACCGAGCTTTCAATTGGTTGCTTACAAAATAAGATGTTTGATATGTATATATACCTGGACAAGAATATCTGTCAATCTTTAAGTAAATGTGAACTGCATGAATGGTTCGAGCTACTCTCGTGGCGTCAATGGTTGTCGGTAGAAGTGGGCGTGAGTTTAAAACACTGCCGTGTGTTTTCATGTCTTTTTTTTTCAGGACATTTCCCTCTTTGAGTAAAGTATGTGAAAGTATGTGAATGCCTGCAAATCAAGCCAAAGGACACTGTTTACAATCAAAACCTTCTGCAGATTACTGATACTATTTCTAGATGTCTGTCCAAGTACAATCAAAGCCAGTTGAGGCATTAGTACAATAATATCAGTAACAGTTACTGCAGTATAATTTAGAACACCCATCGTGTTTTTAAAACATAACATACTAGGGTCGTTCAGAAAGTTGATTGCCTTACCATAAAGTAGGTGGTGTAACCCACATAAACAATAATGTCTTTCAATCAAAGGCTACCAAATGTCAAATAATTCTAGTCGTTTGTATGACAAGGTAGTATTCCCAACAACCAAGGGTAACGTTTTCACGCCCGACGTTTCGGTGTCCGTCCTTCTTCAGGGCAACATACAGTATTTCGCCAACCTGATGAAATTCCACGAACATTGTAGTCATTGTTTAGGCAGAGACGCTCATTTGATAAAAGCCAAGAGGTGAGACTGGCAATAGTCAGTAGGTGAAGTATGTACATGAGTAAGCCTGTTTGGCTCATTGCTGGTACTCTCTATCCCATGCAATCAACAGGGACATTGTAAGCATGTCTGGTGAAGATTCCTTGTATCCAACCGGAAAGATGGGCTTCTATGTTTAAGCAAGATAACGGAGAGCTCTAAAGACAACCTGCACACATGTTGTCTTAGCTCTACTGCTGTTTTTCCAATGGGAAACACCTTACATACAAGTGTTTAACAGGGCGTCACTCGCTAGAAAATGACTACGATGATTTGAAATTTGGTGGACATCCATGGAAGTCTTTTTAGTTCACATTGGCCCTCGTACAACCCCTCCTTTCTTTGAGCCAGACTAGCCATACGAAAAAAGGAATGATAGATACCCACTATTTACTCAACTGTAACATCTGGCACCACCCACTAAGAACACAGTCAGTTGCAGTCAAACTGACCCATCAAATATTTTATTAGCTATATCCATAGATCTCTGACATAGGTTACAAAGTTCACAATAGATAAATACACATCGCGGACAATTCATACTTAACTTGTGTGGGGTCTAAACTACCGCTAAAACACCTCCGAGGGCAACTCGTGTTCATTAAAGGCAGTTAATGTACATGTTGTGCAACAAAATGCCACAAACAATGGCCTGGTTTACGTCTTAATCTGACCGGCCACACCGGTTAGGTCAACAGTGTGCCTAACTGGCCGGATTGTGTCCATGGTGACCGGTACATACAACACACCTACCCTGTAACAAATATTAGACTACAGAGGTCAAAGTACTTCGTATATAATTATCTAAGCTATCAACCCTGTGTGTACAGAAAAATACCTCGATGTCAAGGCTTTGAAAATGTGTGTATTCAAGAATTGCACAGCAAAGTCCTTTGATACAACCTAAAATTTCCACACTTCTTTGTTGGGAAATATATGACGACATAGAGTGTTCTTTCTTTGGGTGATTTTTGTTGATAGAACAAATAGGGGGTTATTTTTAATCGCAGCAAACAAAACCCACGTTAGTTACAGTTCAGGTGTACATGTACATCCTTTTGACTCCTGTACAGAGAAACAGTAAATGCTTAGAGTAAGTTCCATAACAACAACAACAACAACAACAATGGTTGCGTCTCATTCCTGAGAACGTAGAGATTCTTTACGATAAACACGTATTTTGGGTATACGGTTTTTGGCAAGATAGAGGGCGTATATTACTAGTACATCCACATCACTCATATACAATAATATCCTACAATCACGCATGTGTACGTATATATGGCCCTGACGTACCAAGAAATGCTAAAATAACATTTTTCTGTTGCTTTGAGTTTGTCGTTTTGTACCAGTATATCTCTTGTAACATTGATACATGTACTAAGAATAAGTTACGTATACGTTCGTCATATTTCTTTACATTTACCACAAAAATACAGACTTAAACATCTCTTCAATTCAATTCTTCGCAAGTTTCTTCTTTCTTTTTACATTATCTTATAAGTGATTTTTTTTCGGTTGCATTTGATACATGATATTTTTCCAATGTACCTTGAAAGTTTTCGTCAACAAATGCAGCAGAATTGATTGTTCTCAGTATTAACGGTCCCGAACCTGCTGGTCTGTGATGGTTCATGATTGGCGGGGAGCGGTTGAAGTTGTCGGCGTGTCCAGTCCCCAGTTCCGAGGGTTGTTACAGAAACACACGCTGTTGCCGGTTTGGAAGCATAACAGTTTTTTGAACGCTCTGCGAAATTCTTTGTTCATGAAGGCGTAAACACACGGGTTTAGCAGAGAGTTGATGTAACCAAGCCAAAGCACCACGGAGTAGAGCTGCTCGGGGATTGTACAGCCACACAACGGGGTGATGGTGAAGACTGTGAAGTAAGGAGTCCAACAGATTATGAAGGCTCCCAGAACGGCGGCTAGAGTTCGCGTCGCCTTGTGTTCGTTTGCCAAGTTTTGATTCTGTCGCCGATTCGCGTCGCGAACCTCCGGCTGCAGGGCGTTGATGCGATTCGCCTGCTCTTTCGCGATGAGGAATATTCTGAAGTAGGTGACACACATGATGATGAGGGGGATGTAGTAGGTGCCAAACGCCACGATCATGATGTAGGGCACGTTAGTGTTGTTGAAGCTACACTGGGTCGGGTCGTCTACGTTCTGAAGCCGACCGTCCTCCGTGTTCCACCCGACCCAGATAGGAAGGAACGACACCAGCAGAGACACGATCCAGACTACAGCGATGGCCATGAAAGCTTTCCGTCTGCACATCTTGTTACTGTAGGTAAAGGGGCGAGTGATGGCGTAATATCTGTCCAAACTGATGGCGAATAGATTGAGAATGGAAGCGGTACAGCAGAGCACGTCCAGCGACACCCACAAGTTGCACAGGATCAGCCCGAAGTTCCAGTATCGGGTCACTTCAAATATTGTACTGAACGGAAGCACGAGCACCCCGACTAGCAGGTCCGCTACAGCGAGCGACACCACGAAGTAGTTGGTGATGTTTCGGAGTCTCCGGTTCACCACAGCAGCTAAGCAGACCAGGACGTTTCCTATTATGGTCCCGAGAGTGATAATTCCGAGGAACGTGCCGACAAGGACGGCAGCGGACAGAGTCTTCCCTCCGTACGGGGCCCGAGCTCCGGTCTCCCCGCCGCTTGGTAGTACCGTTGTATTGTCAGTCACAGCCACGCTCAGATTCTCCATAATTCTCCCGCCTCTTACACTCCTGTGAGTTCGACATGGGAAAGAAGAAATACACAGGATGAGGAGAGATCGTTGGTGAACAGTCTGCTAGCTCTAAAACTGTTTGAGTCAGGATGGTAATGGAGATTTGATGAGGTGCCAGGGTAGTTCTGGACTAGAGTTCAGCCAGAAATCCCCCGACTCCGCACCTCACCCCAACACTCACGGTCTGGCTACATACTAGAGGTCAGCCTCTCTGACAGGTTTGATCAGGCTGTCATTGTGTGGCAGTGATAAATGACCTCCGCGATAGGCGCGACATTCGCCCGGCTCTCCACATTAACTAGGCACAGGTTATACGATTTGTATCTAAGAGAATGGAGGGAGGCGCTATGAGCCGTAACCTCTCATGGTGCCGGTGGATTTGGAGTGGGAATGTGCGGCGTTATCTGGTAATTCTGTGTATTTATCGACCGACCCGCTTCTGTGATGACGTAACTCGTCGACAGGTTGGGTACAACTCGGGACCGTCCACTAGCAAACGTGCAGGGGGGATACATATACACATTTTGATCGAATTGATGTTTTATCAAATTGCTGCTTAGACAAGCTTTATTTGTAAGTACCCACCTCACAATTAAGACATGAAAAGGAGCTGGGAGATCTCATACCTCCTTGAAATATTGACAGCTTTTGTAAATGTTTGTTTTCCAGATTTGTCTCATTGATAATGGACATAAGGCTGTAATTCATATTTAGCATAATCTATTTATAACAGATTATTTTTACATTTTCTCAACTCAAATTGCATACATTTGATATGTTTATTAATATATAATGTTAAATCCTTTCCTTTTGCCAAGGTTTCATTTCAACGTTATGCAAATGACCTTCACATTAAGACAATATATAGTGATGTTAACCTTTAACTAACTTACACAAGTAGGAAACGTACTTTCATCATTTCCCACTAAGACCACACTGATTTGATTTTATGGATGACATCCGCGCGAGCATTGATTTTCGCCTGTTCTAAAAAATCACCTCCGAGGCTCTGGCCTGGGTGCCATCAGGGAACCGGCGGTAACTACGGCGGATGCCACTCAGGCAACCAAGGCTCAGTGTCGACTCACAAATACCGCAAAAGGCCAGCATGCGCCGGCTTGTCGTAAAGTTGCTATGTACGTATATACTACCACAAATCAAATTCACAATACCAGATTTGTATTCCTGTGATTTGTCAGCATGTACAATCTCCAAGGTATTTTTGCGTGTTTAATACATGACTAAAACACAAACTCAAACTTACACCTGCTTAGAGATTAATGAATAGGATGGAAATTATTTGATGGACTGTTTCTAAATATTTATATGATACTGTGCTTGGTGCATAATTCCTTTCTTGTCGGCCCAGTTAATGAAAAATGGACCTCTTACCGACATTGTAAAGGTGTTGTTTTGAGGCTCATATCTTTCTAGTAACGATCTGAAAACTGTATTCGCCAATTTCTTTTCGTTTGTCCACGAGGTCAACCAAATCTTTCAACCTCTCTGGCGGAGAGTTGACAATTATAGATTATGTGTCTAGGATCATTTACCGTTGGACACGAGCCATGTGTGTAGACTTATTGATCAGCGTTCCGGTAACACTCTCACCCCTGTCTGCCACGATTGGGTTTCCGGAAAGTGAGAGTGGTGGCTTGAAAGTGAGAGTGGTGCCTACTTACGGCTCGAAGATGTGGATGACTTTCACGTATTACCTGTTGTGTTTACAGTTGCAAATAAAAATACGCGTCAATTTACGTTCCGACCGTCTGTTAAAGTAAGGGGTTGTCGGTCCTGTTGAATTTACCGATAAGCGTTGAAGGACCTCCCCATGTAGACCCGCTTGAGCCCAGGTACTTTGTATCAAGGATAGAAATGACCCTCACTTATTACCTCCGAGTACGGATGTATTGCTTTGAGTGTATCTATGTGTTTACCCGATTGCGTCCGTAGGTTTCAAAGGCAGTTAAGTGGCAGGGGGATGTTACCACAGATTGACCTTTAAGGTCAAGTTGGGTGGAAGTGATGAGTGTCAGGTTGGGTGGAAGTGATGAGTGTAGGTTGGGTGGAAGTGATGAGTGTAGGTTGGGTGGAAGTGATGAGTGTCAGGTTGGGTGGAAGTGATGAGTGTAGGTTGGGTGGAAGTGATGAGTGTAGGTTGTGTGGAAGTGATGAGTGTTGGTTGTGTGGAAGTGATGAGTGTCAGGTTGGGTGGAAGTGATGAGTGTAGGTTGGGTGAAAGTGATGAGTGTAGGTTGGGTGGAGTGATGAGTGTCAGGTTGGGTGGAAGTGATGAGTGTCAGGTTGGGTGGAAGTGATGAGTGTGGGTTGGGTGGAAGTGATGAGTGTGGGTTGGGTGGAAGTGATGAGTGTGGGTTGGGTGGAAGTGATGAGTGTGGGTTGGGTGGAAGTGATGGCTCCACCCACGCATCTTGATCACAGTGTGTCTGTCCTATTTCGCCCGTTCAAAAGTACATTAGTCCATATTTTTTTCGGTTTTGTCAATGAATTCACAAAATCTCGAGATATTTCCCGAATGTTTGAAATCGCTGACTTCTTTTTACATGCTGTTTCCTAGCTGCATGTCAGTTTTGTGCCGGGTTTTTGATCGGACGCTTTCCGTTCCATACAATCAGAAAACAGCACACATCCATAAGCCTACATCATCCTGCCCTTCAGCAGTGTTATACTAACCCGGGAACGCTGACGAACGCCGAGCCACTTAATTGACCCAATTAACGTATCGATTTTCACCAAAACCCCACACGATCCATCCTTATGCCAAAAAACAGTTACTCAAGCAACTGGATGTGATTTTGAAAACGTCAGACGTTTCAGCTAGTATCCACTAGCTTTCGTCAGTGACTGAGAGACCAGAGGGGAAAGCAGGTTTATATACACAACCTGTTGATTGATATGCAAATAAAGTGAAGACAAATTTTTGGAAGTCGAAAAAGGAACAAAAGTCAGACAAGTCAAGACAAGATGATGCAAATTAGTCTGAAAGCTCTAGCCTGGTATCCAGCCTTGTTAGCTTTAGTCCGCTACCCAAGATCCGCTCCTTGTTGGCGGGGAGCGGATCTTGGGTAGCGGACTAAAGCTAACAAGGCTGGATACCAGGCTATGAAAGCTCCTGTTATACAGGACAGGAGCTTAAGTGTTGTCTGTCCTCGGGGCTAGGAGCGCCAAATCCCAAGTGCCGGAAAGATCGACCCGTAGCCCCCCTTCCCTGTTGAGGGTGGGGTTGTACATTCTTTCATATATTGCCTCTTTAACACCCCGTTCCCACCAGCGTGTTTCGCGGTCTAAGACATCCGTGGACTCGAGTTTGAAAGAGTGACCCTGGTTGTGTTGTAGGTGGTGGAAAATAGCTGAGGAGTAGCCGTTGGCACTAGGTCGGCAAAAATTTGTCTTCACTTTATTTGCATATCAATCAACAGGTTGTGTATATAAACCTGCTTTCCCCTCTGGTCTCTCAGTCACTGACGAAAGCTAGTGGATACTAGCTGAAACGTCTGACGTTTTCAAAATCATATCCAGTTGCTTGAGTAACTGTTTTTTGGCATATCGTATTACCTGGATGTCTAACCTTCATCGACGGATCCATCCTTATCTTTGCAATCAGAATCTCTTTACGAAACTAATTTTTGGTAGTTCAATTCTTTGATTTTTGGAATTGTATTTCGGAAATGTATATATTTTCTACATGTACATGTGTATTTGGTTCTGAAAATGCAATTCCTCGAGTCCTATAACATTTATGAAATGTTTACGAAAATACAACTCTTCCATTCCTATAATGCTTCTGAAATGTGCCTGAGGGTACAATGGTACAATTCTTGCGTTGCAATAATGTTTCTGAAATATGAATTAATTTTTCTGAAAATAGTGCCCGAACTTGCGAGTTGTGTTTTTTTTTTAGATCTTTTGTCTGTCTGTTTCTTTGTTTCTAGTTGATTAGCAACTGTTTAACTGTCAAGGGATCATCTTTGCATTAGAGTTTTGTGCTAGACCAGGAAAGTTCGTGTACCTTACGGTGTTTTAAGTGGTGGTGCTGGAGGGGGGGGGGGTCAGTCATGCATACACGTTAAGCGTGTAGGGATTAGCCTGGATTCCAGTCTTCTTGGCTCAGTTCGCTTCAAACGGTCGCTAAGAAACAAAAATACCATCCACTGAAATAGGTGCCAAATCGCGTCTTGTGTTAATCTCCAAGCAGCTCTTTTGGTGGCTGCAAATTGGCCAGGTAGTATCCTTTTGCCAGGCAGTTACCACTTGCCACCCGAGTTTGGCTTATGACATGTAAAGACAGATACCAGTCCTGAACAGAAAGCCCGATAAAATCGTCTAAAACGCGTCAAAAATAAACCGAATGCTAAACCTCTGATTGGAGTCAGTTGTGTATAAATGCGCTATGAATGCGGTGCACTGAGGTTTGCAGTTTAGTTAAAAATCCAATATGTTCAATAACTTATTACCTTAGTTCCTCCTGTGCCTATGGCATATTGGACAGCAAGCTTCCACTTCCAATATGTTCTATGGAGGTGTTCAAACAGGGTTACTTTGCCCCCCCCCCCCCAAACTGAAGACATGCACCCACCTTGTCCAGTGTCCACCATGCGGTCAGTTCCTAAAAATCAAGCCTCGGCCTTTTCTTGGCGACGCCCTAACTTCACACACAACAACGGGAGTCAGAGGATTTGAGAGAAGGGCGAAATTTCCAACCTGCTTTTCTCGTAGTCGTACCTTTGCCAAAAGAACTGAACTCTCCTATCACACGGGCCAGTGAAGTCAGACAAATGTTGTTCCAGGTCAGTCTGTTTGTGTTCTTTCCGCTGGCCGGCTTGTGTAAACCGTGTCGTCAAACCAACCCTGCAGCAGGAAACGTGACTGCCATACGATATAGCGACTTTTCCACATATCTAGGTATATATCTGAGGGACATACGAGATACCGTTCGAAGACCCATAGCAACTATCGCTGTAACAGGCTCCACACGACCAACCGTAGCTCTAAAACAACTATTGTGAAAGAGAATCTTGTCCTCAAATCCCACGGGAAGACGCAGGGACATTGTTGTGATGCACGCATCCCTATGACAACTGTCTTGTTAGTATACGCGCTGATTGGCCCTTTTTTGTTGTCTATAATTGTCGGGGTATGAGCGGAATTAGGGTTACTGTCACTCATACAGAAAAGTAACGCCACAGCGGCCAAACCACGGTCCATACTTAAGCCGTGACATTTAAGAAGTGGGCTACATTAAAATGTATACATAGGGAATTTTCGACGACAACTATCTGACCTGCTTTATTCTGCTCTGTTCAAAAGTTCCGGCATAGTTCGCACAAAAGCACACAACCAATACAAACTTATAACATAGATCTGAAAATAACCTAAAGGCTACCTATCAATAACAGCTTAGTCTTAGGACGACAAGTATGAAAATATGTTTGCATTTTTTGACGTAAAAGAACCCAGAAAAAAGGAAAAACGAAAAACAGGGGGAAACAATTCACCTGAAAACGTCAGCAACTAGAGACAGTTATCTGCCAGCTGTGCCTCATTTTTCCCAAACTGCGTCATTGTTTATAGTTGTACTATATAATCAAGGCTTCACATATGAGTAACCACGATTTGCTGGTAAGGACAACAGACTGTTGTACATTATATGAAGAGTGCGGGCCTGTTCCCACTAGCATCGCGACTTTCCCAGGTGGTTCATGGCGCTAAAACAGGTGTCATCAGCGATGCGCCATGCCAAGTCCCCACGCCCACTGTGCATAGTCTCTACGCAGGCTTCTTGTAGCCTGCATGGGTGCCGGTCTGCTTCTAGGGCCCACACAGGTCAGTTCCTCGGCTCCAGGGCAAACATTCTCCCAAGGAAATTATACAACAGCTCTCCCTCAGTTAAGGCTGTGAGTCTGACATCCAGGCTAGGCTTCTTGTAACCTGACCGATAGTCCAGTCCCCGAGCTACAGGCTAGGATTCCTCGGCACTGTCAGCTTTTATTCCTGCCTGGCTAGCTAAGCCCACCTCGGGGATTTTACCTGCCTGAAATCAATTAACAGCTTGCTAAAGAGCTTTCTCTTAAGTGGACTGAGGCAACTTTTCGCCAGGTTGGGTGCATGTGGACCCGGTGCCGTAGAGCTGGTCTGTGTGGGCCCTGGTAACAGTATCGATCCTAGAATTCTTCGGGAGAAAATATACACAAGACATAGCCTCTATTTTTGCTGGAATTCTATGCAAAATTGCAGTGTACTAGTGCATGGTTGTAGTGGGGCCTTAGTAAATGAAAACAACATTACTTCGCCTGGGCGGGGAGGGGGGGGGGGCAGGAAAAACAATTTGCATGACTTAGTTTATTGGAACATGACTACAACAAATACATACCCTTTCAAACTTGAAGGGATATTTGACATCGTGAGGGTTGAAAAAAACTTTAAATCATGTTGTCATGATGTCAAAGAGTTCCAGTGCCGCATATGATGTTGGTGATGTAAGGTACCCGGCGGACAATAGCAGTAGTACAGCATCGATACTTACGTATCAGTATGCAGTGTTTTGGGTCTTGCTTGATAAATCCCTCTCCAGATAATGTGTAATGCTATGTCTACGTTGCATCTAACATTGTCATTTGTCTGGATAAAGGAAAGGCCAGCCAGACTTACCGGTACCCAGACAGGCCATATCCTCGGCACCAGGTCCGACCTATGCCCGAGGATATTATTCGTCAATCTCCATTTAAGTCTCTTCCAGTGCTGCCAGTAAAACAAAATCACCGAGGTGGGCTATAATAGTTGGCCATGTGGGTACGGGTATAGAAGCTAACAACCATCCTGCCTGCCAACCTGCCTTTCATTGTTTGCCATAGTTTTCTGAGTTCAAACCTGTCATTCAAAATGAAGGAAATAGCATTTCTAGGCTAGTAAACGGACAAAATAATTCGTGTATCATATATAATACCTGGCTAACCTGGGCGTCCCAAAGCCGCGGAATTTCAAGAGAAATTTCTAAAACACCAGACACAACTTCTGTCTCATCATGTAACCCTATGATGATTAGAAGCACTTTAAAGTTTAGATTCTAAGTGAACAAATCTTACCACATGGTTAAACATGGCACATGGAGATCAACGTTCCTCTTCCCCGATGGGTTCCAACGTGCGACATAATTCACGGACTAATCAAAAGTGCTTCTCTTTTAACACGTGTCATCGCCAGATGGGTGTGGATCGATTTCAGAGGTCGCCAGTTTCATTGTCGTCATGGGAAACGTCGATATTGTATAATGGCAGTTTATTGTAGCGATCATCGAAGGTCGCAAGCTCGTTATTTATATTTCAGTCCATACCACAGGTGTGTATGAAATATATTGTTTTCCCTCGTGTTTCTTCTTCTTCTTCTTCTTCTTCTCCTCCCGCCATTTTGTTAAATGGATTCAATTTCTTTTTTTTTTGGCCAAATGACCTGAAGTTTGGCATGGAGGTAGAGTGGGCAAATACCACCAGACTTTTTTTCATTGTTTGGTACAGGCTTTTCAAAATTGTTTTATTTGGGTTTTTGCCATTTTCAGGCAAAAATGTACATTTTGGGATCTGGTTTCTTTGACGCCTTTATATTTGAAACGCGAGGAGCACAAAATGGAAACAGGTGTGCCCAGCAAACTGCTGCTTTTGTAGCTCTAGATGTTTATCTCATGTAGTATTTTAGTCAAAACACATGTTAAGCAAATTTACCTGTGTTCACAATTGTTAATGGCTAGCAGTAGTATTTATATATACCCAAGCGATTCTATTACATTTATTACTACTTACTAGTATAACAACAAACGAACTTCAAAGTTTCATCATGCCACACTTATTAACCTCCCTGTCCTATGCCGCCTCTCCCTTTCTTTGTTTCTTTCTTTCTCAATTAGTGCCAATTTTTTGTTTCAATCTTTTCTTTACGAACGGACGAAAAGTAGATACCAAAACGCATGCAAAGAAAAGAAGTGTCTGGAACTTTCTCGTTTTACCAATTACACAGCACACACCAGCAGTGTGACCGATTAGTTGACTTTTGAAACAGACTGAAATGTGAGTTAATCCCACAATAATCCGTATAATCACGTGCCGAGGGGCGCGATTATTCCAACACAATTGATGGGAACTTTATCCGGTCTTTGTATATAAATTACCCGCTCCTGGCTTCACTTTATCACCACTGTTCACCTGTTATATATTACTAGTACATCTGTTCACCTGTTATTTATCACTTCTGTTCACCTGTTATATATCACTTCTGTTCACCTGTTATCTATCACTTCTGTTCACCTGTTATATATCACTTCTGTTCACCTGTTATTATATGCCAAGCAATGCTGGACTAGCACGTCGGCAGAACGTACTGCGCCTGCGCAGAACCCTGGATTTTCACGCTTTTCGGTGGATCTTTGGTCAACGTTGCATCAGAATTTTGCCTGTTGCAGAGGATATCTTTTCCAACTTAACATTTGGAAACTACAGACGGAGTGTTAACCTTATATGCGCGAATACGACCTTATATGAGACGTTCTGCCGAAGTGCTATGTATAACACATTACGGGTTTCGCGCAGGTGCAGTACGTTCTGCCGACGTGCTTGCTGGGCTGGAATAGCACGTCAGTAGCCCTGCACCCGTGCGAAACCCGGAATGTAATGTGCGTGCACAATATTCAGTCGTAAAAAATACTGTGGACATATGTATTGCTTCGAGCGTATTTTGAGGGTTTTAGAGTACTGATGCATTTTCTTGCACCTGGGACTAATTATGACATGGAGAATGTGACGTAAACTCAAGTTACAACTTATTTTGCTACGCCACATACGCACAAAACAACAAAAATTTACCGTGCGCCCCCTCCTTCACCAAATATTGTAATTAACATTGTAAAAAATGTTATGTTAGGCTTCTATATTTGACGGACATATACATGTCAAATATAGAGATGACCTCACAAGGTCATCTAAATTCTAAAGGTGCTGAATAATATCGGGCGGTCTGTAGGCAGGTACGATACAATGCAGCGCCCTCAGGTATTAAACTGCTGGTGTGCAACAATCGTCTAGCTTCAGTGAATCATGTTTGTTTACGAGGTACTCTTCATAGTAATACTCTGTCCTTATGGAAATCGATTTCATCCGGGTGGAACTGTCCAGGTTTGTTGTGTTTGGCAGCCTCAGCATTACAGTAGTGGGTTGTGCTTGTAATATCAAGGACGTTCTAGCTAATATTTTAAAAACAGGATGTGACACGTATTGGACAAATACTACCGCCACAGTCAGCAAAACAGCAAGAACACAGCTGACGTATGAGACAGGAGCACCCACAAGGAAATCTTCAACATCACAGGTACGGAAAATTTGTTGTCTCATGTTGGTTTTTAATACTTAAATCTCCTGTAACTCCCGTCTCATACGTCGTGCAATGCGTCTACGATGTGGCTTTTTCCGCGACGACCGTGCTATACGACGTCAAACGTATATACCGTGATGACTCCGGTCCGAGACCTTACAGATTCACCAGAAAATTGATCTTGTTTTACTGCCATGAAATCGCTTTATGTGTCTAATTGTGAATTCTAAATTTGAAGAAACAATTCGAGATTATTAATACACATTTAAAAACATTTTTTATAAACAGTCCTATGTATATTTGCAGAAGACTCTGGGTCTTTCTGTGTCGGAGAGAATTTGTAAATATTGCTCCTCAAATGCAGTGGAAGACGAAATTCATTTCATCTCTAACTGTCCATTTTATGACGACATCAGAAATCAATTATTTACCACCGTGTCCAAAATGCTGCCTTACTTCCCCACCATTCCTTACCACAAAAACCAATTTTACTACTAAAATCAAAGAACCCACATATTATAGAAGAAGTGGGTAAATTCGTCTTCCATTGCCTAAAAAGAAGAAGTCAAACCCAGCAAAACTAGTGTCATGTCATGTTGTAGAATATAGTATAATGTTAGAAGTAGATATAGTCTCACATACCACTGTATTTTCTTTCTATGTTGTTTGTAACTGCAATTAGCCCTCGGGCAAGTATTTGCAATAAACTTTCAAAAACTTTCAATTTATGCTTGGCGACGCCTCAGGGACGACCCTAACGGTATACTTATGTGCACTCTGTCAAGAGACACCTTTTCAAGATCACAGATCACCTAGCGATTCTTTCTTGTATAAGCTACTACTAATACTACTGAAAATCAATGTAAAACATTGCTAGCACTTACTTTACACTTAACAATGCAACAATGCTTTCTCAAAATTGCAGGTATCCAAGTGGGCCAACAGTTGAATATTTTCAGCGGCTCTGGAAAACGCAGGTGGTGTGACGTGACGAATCGTAGTGCCCGCTACCCAAACAAGCCACAGACCAGTCACCTACTCGTAAGAGGTCAACGTTAACATATGGTTAAGATGGGTTTCTTTTGGCCAACTCCAAAGTTCCTATTTCTGTCCTTTCTGATACTGAGCACTGGAGCCGTCTACCTGTACATGTACGTCAGCGACAACGGAGTCGAACTGGCACCTGAAGAAAGAGTAATTGGTGCCTTGACTACGGAAAAAGGTACATACAAAGTGTGTTTACTTCGTATTGCCTTTTTTTACATGTATTCAATTGTCATAGCGTTTATTCTATCTGACTCCTGTCCGCTTCCTGGTCATTCTAATTAAATCACGGTGTCATCACGCCGCCATATAAAAATGGTGTTATGGACTATCTATTCAGGACTGTACATGTCTATTAAAAAAAAAACTTTTGTCCAGCTGCATTTACTCCGTGATACTGTATGAAAATATAAATTGTCCTGTTAGGCATTTTTTTGAGCTAAGCTAAGTTACCTTAGAGATTCCTGTACGGGAAATGCTTACATGTTTTTTCATGTTGCTTGATGCTCCTGTTTTTTTTTAAATAAAAGAAGCTCATGGATCTATAATAATTGCTGTTTGCCCAGCTTCACCTCTAGTTTATTTGATTTTATACATCATGGATCTATGATAGAGGGGGGTCCTTCTATGGACCCTTAGCAGATGTGGAAACTGTCAATATTTCACAAACCCCATCTAATCACACTGTAGGTCCCAGCACCACCAGCCCATCCTGGTCGACAAGCACCCTATCTGCAAATAGCCTTCAAAATTCCCTTAGTGACAGTGACAACATCCCACATTTCAACCCTACCTCCACCTCTTCTCCCTGCACGTCCCAGTCCCTGGTTCAAGGTAAGAGAAACCTACATCACCTTCATATTTTATCCCTGAACTGTAGGAGTATCAGAGGCGAATGTAAGAATGTACAGTTTAGATCTTTAGTAGGCACTGAAAATCCTGATATCATCTGTGGCAACGAGTCACACCTTGATCCTGATCACACCAATGCAGAAATCTTCCCAGTAGGCTATGACATATATCGGAAAGATCGTAATACCCAAGGAGGAGGGGGGGGGGTATCGCAGTTAAGTCTAAGCTTGTTTCTTCACCCATTCAGGATCCTTCCAATGTAGAAATAGTCTGGGTCCAGATTCAGCAGGTACATACAGACCCCCTACCTCTGGACCAGAGTATGTGGTAGAACTGGAGAAATCCTTAAACAACGTGCAGACAAACCTTCCCCACCCAACATTGCACTTCTAGGAGAAGGATGTTTACAGAATTGATGACCATGAAATATGACATACGTGTTGGTGTAACTTTTTTTTTCTCGAGACAACTGGGACAGCTTCGCGGAAGCCGAGGAGGAACAGGCCCGCAGACTCGCCACGTTTAAGGCGTACTGTGAGAGGAACCCTTCAACGGTACGTTACGATGGCTGATAAATTATTCGCAAAAGCAAGAATTCGGAGATTAAATCTTTAGAGCTTTTGCGAATATTTGTGTTTTGGATTGTCTCCTTGATTATGGACATGAGGTTGGAATTAGCATAATCTATTTGAATTTATGGATTTCTCAACTCAAATTACATATATTTCATTTAGGTAATTCTAATTTGAATTGTCGGGGCTAGTTGAGTGAAAACATAATTCATTGCGTCCGAGGCTGAGTTTCTTGATATTGTTTATTTTTATTTTCTGCTTTTCAGGTGGATCCATCGCAAACCCAAGTTAAAAGCCATGTAATGCTTTTTGAAAATATCCAAACGGCTTACTGCTATATCCCCAAAACTGGGTGTACAACCATGAAAACCTTATTTTACAATGTAGAGCACAATACAACTGTACGGTCAGTCGATATAAGTGATGTTGAACTTTTAGAGTTTAGGTTTAAAAAATTAAAGCACTACAGTGAGGAAGAGGCTCGTCTGCGCCTCGCGACCTACAGGAAGATCATCGTTGTCCGCGACCCCTTGGAGAGGTCAGGCCCCCATGTTTCTTCTTCTCCTTCTCCTTCTCCTCCTGCCATTTCGTTAAATGGATTCAATTTCTTCATTTTTGGGCTAAGTGACCTGAAGTTTGGTATGGAGGTAAAGTGGTCAAATACCCTCAGGCATTTTTTCTTCTTCTTTTTTTTTGATATTTAAAAGACTTTTAAAATGTTTTTTATGGTTTTTGCCATATATGGTATGCATATTTTTACCATATATGGTATGACCATATTTCGCACAAGTGGCATGCATAACCATATTTGGCTATTTGGCACACATGACCTACTTTCTCATGAGGTGGAAGTAGTTTCTCCTTGCTGATTGGCTGCTGGGATAATGTGATCAAACTCATGATAATGAAACAAATACAGGGTTCTATGGAAAGATAATCTCCAAGCACATACAGGGTGGTATGGATTGCACGGTGAAAGGGAAAATTTGGAATGGGGAAGAAGAATGGGTGAAATGTACTGTATTTGCTCTTGAGCAAGTGTTGGCCTTTCTAGTTTTCCATACAAGTCAGGGTCTTGTTTACATAATTAATGAGGACATGATAGAATGCCTTCTGTCTCTGGACAGCACCTGTAATTTCGGCGGAGAATACGAATTCATACAAATGAGGACCTTCTTTCCATAATGAATGGCGATGATTTGTCAGTCGTAAATGTTAACAATCTTTTGTTGAATTTGCAAGTCGAGCACTTACTGTTGGGATTCGAACCCAGAACCTTTACATTCTAAGTCACCAATACCAGCCATCGTTATGCTTATCCTAGGTTGGCGTCTGCGTGGATGGACAAATTCATTTACCAGCCAAAACATAGAAACTTTTGGGGGTTTGTGAATGGTTTAAACCATCGTCTGAGAACATACCGAGAGCGCAACCTACCAGACAAGGTACGAGACATTTTCACAGTCTTGAAAACAGAGCAGGATACTTAAACCTTTGTTGTAGATAAGTTAACCAATGGAGTTCTTCGACATTCTGGTGATCAAAGTTAAAGAAAATGTTAGCAAGAAGGCTCGTTTGGCTAGAAGCTGGATTGAACTGTAGCTCCCAATACAATGACAAACTAGAAAGGTAACATTTACAAAGCAAATGCATAATGTTTACCTACGCACATGCTCTGTCAATTCTTACTCAAATACATTCATATGTATGGTCAGACAGAGTCTTTAATTCCTTCTACTAAAAGATTGCAACGTAATGTAACCCAACACCAGTTACCATGGTGACAGACGTCAACAAACCAGGTCATTGGCCAGGTCAGAGGTTAGTGTTTTCAGCAGAAGAGGAAACTGAGCAAAAACAATATGTTTTCCTTCCGTATAACATAAATAGAAAAGCACCCGTTTTGTCAATGACTGACGCCATACGCCATGCAGATAGAACGATTGACTCGGGGAACACTGGATAATAGCTTTGCAGAAAACTTATGCCGAGCCCGGTCTCTATTAAGGGATAGTTGCAAGAACATTATGTATGTACATTGTATATGGCTTCTGTAGCTCCTCTCACAAAGGTAAATTTAATTGTTTGCATTTTAGTCAAAACAAGGGACATTCAACGACAAAAAAGCAGTGTCTTTCAGAGACTTTCTTTTCGGCGTTTCGAAGAGGCTGGATGATAATGAGCACTGGCTATCGTTCAACAGACTCTGCCTACCATGTCAGGTACACATTCAATCATTCTTCTCTCACTCACTCACTCACTCACTCACTCACTCACTCACTCACTCACTCACTCACTCACTCACTCACTCACTCACTCACTCACTCACTTACTCACACACTAACACAGACACACACACTCAATTGTTCCAAAAGAATATAAAGTTAAGGAAAGACCCCAAAAGCCTGCCTTGTGTGTTTGATTTCTAACACACATTTTCTCCTATAGATTAACTACGACTTCATCGCCCACACGGACACGATCGCCTCAGATGTGCGACTTTTCCTGAAGAAGAACAACATCACAGCGAATGAAGACATTCTGCCGGAACAGCGGCAGAGACACGTTAACGACGACAATGTTTTCGGTGACATCTACGGCCAAGTCCCGATAGAAGACATACTGCCTCTCCGGCACATCTTCCAGGAGGACTTTGACATGTTTGGATACTCCTTCGAACAGGATTTGGCAGAGATACTAAAAGGAAAGACAAAGGCAAAGGGGTAGTCGAGAAATCTTCTTCTTGGTTCTTGAACTGTTCTCCTCTGACATGCTAGCAGATATAACAACTAAGACGCGCAAATTCTGAATTTCAAAGCGTTTCAACAACATCTACGACTCATTTAACACTTTGGAAGGCGATTTGGCACAACTTGAAAAGGTGAAGAGACAGTCTAGGAAATTTCGTCTGTATGTAGTAGATGCAGCAAACTTTCAAGTGTAGCTTATGGTATAGGATTGTACTTGAACAGTGTATTCTTGTCATATTGTCGTATTGCCGACGAATATGTGGTGCACAGTTGCTCACAACACAATTGGTGAGAGCCCGATCACAATGATCGTACGGCAGACTTACGACACCATTCTTACAACAAGTGTCATACTCGTACTACATTGTGTACGAAGGGAAAGATTGACGTAGACCCTTGTCCGTTGTCAACTCTATCATAGCTCCGGCGCTCTGAAAATCCTGCCACAAAAGAATCATGTGATATGACCGTTTAGTTATGCTGAGGTCACATTTCCAAACCGGGGCCCGCCGGGCAGTTATATGGAACAAAAAGTATGATATAAAAGACAACAAATCACAAAAAATGTAAAAATTGATAATGTGAACTAGTATAGTCTTGATATAAATTGTTGATTTCTTGTTAATCGAAACAGCCCGGCCGGTCCCCGGTTAGGAAATGTGACCCAAGTATAGGCAATGGTAGCATATGCTGAGGTCACATTTCCGAAACAGGGCCCGGCCGGGCAGTCTTATTGAACGAAAAGTATTAAATAAAAGACAGCAAAGCACAATAAAACTTTTTTTAAATACTAATGGAAACTGTTTGCGTATACGATTGATATAAATGATTCATTTTTCGTTTATTGAATCAACCCGGCCGGGCCCCGGTTTGGAAATGTGACCTCAGCAATACATGCATGGTCTACTCGCTACAACATGATTAGTAACCAATGGTAGCCAAATGTCTACTTACCACAACCGTTTCTGGGAGCACTGGGTTCTTGTTTAGTGGACTTGGCAGGTTCCCTATCAATGCCACTGTTAGGAGTTGTCTGTAGTAAATGGCCACAGCCTCGCCACCGGTACCTCAGCTTACGTCTGTGCACAACGTACGGTCGTTGTCGGTTTCTGTATTTCACTCAGGGCTCCCTCTGTAAAATAGGGCGTAGCAAAAACAGGGCTCCAAATTAAAGGTGGTCCAATGGCCACTGACCACTAAAATTTGGGCCGGGACTACTATTATTGTAAAAAAAGACCCTTTTGGACAATAGAAAAATAATCAAAATGTCAGCCCTTCTTTGTTTATCAGGCACACGGCTTTTGGATCCGGAAAAGTCCCCAAAAATTTCCTGTCTACTCTGCAATCATAGTGCGCCTGGGAGTCAGAACATAAGCAAAATAAAATTGACTTCAAAAGTCATACAATACTTTATAAAAACATCCTCATTTTGGGACAATTGAAATATCTTTTTGGGACAGTGCTGGGACAATAGGAAGAAAAGTTAATTTAGAGGCCTGAAAAAGCACTGGTTTTTACCTGGAGAATCTTCTTTGAACACGAAACAGTTCAGGTACGTGAGGCCTGTCCGTGTGGTATTATCTATATAACATGAAATGACTACAGCAGTTTGCTTGTGGTGCGTTTGTGTGCATCAGAGCGCGGTAATGTGATAATGGTAATGTGGTACAGCCGCTCTTATGCTGAAGTCACATTTCCAAGCCGGGGCCCGGCCGGGCAGTTTGCGGGAACAAAAAGTATGATATAAAAGACAACAAAACACAAGAAAGGTTGAAAAGGTAAGTATAAGCATAATTCATTCCTATTCTTCATATGCATTTTTTTTTTCAATTTTTTTGTTCATTCAAACAGCCCGGTCGGGCCCCGGCTTAGAATAGTGACTCCAGCTCTTGAATATGCCTCGGCAAACGTGCAAACGTTTCATTAAAAAAAAACTTATCACAATTTCCATTCCATTTCATGTTATGTTATGCATATGTCACGACCTGTATTCCTGTAGCCCTAGGAACCATTTGTTTCATTATTTGTGCCTTAAGTGTCTGTGCAAAAAAAATCAGAGCAGAACGTCTTTTGTCGGAACACCTGCGTCGCCGCTGTTCATCTTTCTTTTTTTTTTTACTTCGACAATGGCGAAGATTTTGTGACCCAAGGAGCGTAAACGCCCGCCTTTATCCTTCTAGTGTTCGCGAAAGGAAGGTCTGTTGTGAAAGTGTACGTGGCAAGGGCGATTCAATGTTTTTGGTAAATCTAGATTAAGCTGAGTGACTGGCTTAGATAATATATCGATCGCCAAGCGTAATTGCCTTTCTGTGAATTGGGGCAAGTTGATTTGTACTGGGAACCGACCACGTTTGTAACCGCGTGACTTGTCGTGAGTGTTCGCCGCTGTTCATGTTTTCTAAAAGTCTTCGTTCTACACTGAATATCCTACAAACGATAGTTTCTTTTATTTACTTTACTAAAAGTCTTCGTTCTACACTGAATATCCTACAAACGACAGTTTCTTTTATTTACTTTACTAAAAGTCTTCGTTCTACACTGAATATCCTACAAACGATAGTTTCTTTTATTTACTTTACTTAACTGGACACTGACAACATATCAGTACACGGGTCAACAAGGCAGTCGTAACTGGTAGTAGATGACCCACAAATACAGACGTTATACAAACATGAAAAATAAAGAAATGTAACTGTAAAATACAAAACCTAAAATAATGTTTATATAACACCCTTAACTGGTGGCAGAATATACAATTTACATGTAATACTTGTAATACAAGTATACTAGAATCATTCCTATCTAGCAGCAAATCGTACATGAATGTGTGGATATAAGTTGGAACGAGTGGAACGCTTACGGTACCAACTTGAAAGATATTAGTGTGGAATCGGAGCAAAAATGAAAACCAGGACAAAAGGTGGTTAAATCAGGACTCAGGATTTGAAGGTTTCAAATCAGGACTCACACACATAAGTACTTCCGTGCAAACACAACGTAGACGAAATCACTGTAAGTCAAATTAGAGCAAGTCCAATGTATTATAAGCAGTCATTCTTTATTGATGTTGTATAGCTGTGTAATGTTGTCACTTTTATATGATTGTGTATCATGTGTAACGTTATGTGTTTTGGAATCCAGGAAGACTAGTTGCTTTTGCAGTCGCTTTTGCAGCTAATGGATATCCCAATAATTTTTCAAAGCCAATATTCTAGTCATTTATCTACATACTGAGTTGAAACCAATGTATATTAGATAGTGTATATGTATATGTATATGTATATGTATATGTATATGTATATGTATATGTATATGTATATGTATATGTATATGTATATGTATATGGAGCAAAAATTCCAAAAATTCTGACGTAAAATGGAAACTGGAAGGGCCCTGGACTGACTTTTAGGGAACCACCCAGGAAATAAAAGACTCATCTTGGGGCTTGTTTCTGCAGTTTCAAATGCCCAAAGTCTGAAAAGCTAACTCAAATATACAAATGTGAAGCAGTAGGTGCCAATATCACAAAGATTGCCTTACTCAGAGAATATCCAGTTTTGCTGCCCTGAAATCGTACTGGTTGCCTTTAACGAAAATCTATCACCGTATCAGCCAAAGAGATTCGAATCTATGATCTTTTCAATCCCAGAGAACGTTTCCCGCCATCATCAGTATTCACAGTACGTCCTGACAGTCATTGACCTGGATTCTTTTCCAGCCACATTTTATGGACTACAAAAGCCGACCTTCTCTCGCTGGACATTATGAAGGAACTTTGTAATGGGGTGTCGCCTTTTAATGATTCTCTCACTAATGGTCCCCACAGTTTTGTATCAGAAACTCATCTGTAAAACCATTTGTTGTTGTCGTTGTTGTTAGATACAAGTATACCACATGGGGTCGGGGTAAAGATGTATAAAACAATTACATTTCAAACTACTAAGTACCTCGATATTTTTCCAGCTTCCGCCACCCTACTCTGCCTTTTGATAGAAAAAGAACGGAATTTCATAATTTCATTCTTATCCAATTTTGCATTTTGTATCAGAATCGTTATAACCTATCTCATGATCTCCTTCCCACTGAATGGGTGACCAATATTTGAATTTTATGACCCAGGACTTTTCAATTTAATATAGCCTATGGTGAAGTACAATTTGAAAGACAAGGAAACACACAAAACGTACAAAATACATTCTTAAAATATCACTGAAATTCGACTGAATTACCAAAGAGATTTGGGTCCCTCAATGGTACGTCGCCCCACGGTCGTTCATTCCGTCGCTGTACGGTTCTAATTTCAGAGGTAGAAGGATTTGAAGACTTAGAAAAGTAATTGAAGAGTTGGGAGAGATTTAGAAGGGATTTAGGATATCTACCTCCAGCTGATATGAGCCCTTCAAATTTGACGCCGCCTGATTATAAGAATTTCGGAGGATTTGTCTCATCAAGAACGAACGCCGGGATTGGACGTACGTCCGATAATGACACTTTACAAGGTCCCAGTAGTTAGGCCATGTTGATTTGATTATATGGATGACATCCGCGCGCGCATGAATTTTCGGCCGTTTCCAAAATAAAAAAGAGTTTTCAACCATACTGTAAATCGTACAAAACAGTTGCAAAATGAGCAAAAATATACCATAAGTTACAAAAAAATTAATAAAAACTATACCAATGTCCTAGAATGCCAAAATCAAACGAAAAAAGACGAAATTGTAAAGAAATGAACTTGAAGAGTAGATTATTCGCCAAACCATATTCTGTGCCATTTGCTCAACCCTCATGACCACGTAGATTTCATAATGAAAAGAACTTTTTTTTTGCAAAACTTTTTTTTATTCGCACGCGCGCATCAGTTTTGGGGCTCCCGGAGGATGTCATCCATATAATCAAATCAACATGGCCTAATGACACTTTACAAGGTCCCAGTAGTTATGGGTAATCAATGGACGGTATATATATACTTCTGTACGTGAGCATTTTGAGAGCGTTGGAAGACTACTTTAGAAATTATCCATTAATACCAAATAAACGTGTGTCAGTAGTGGTATACTAGTACTAGCCTGGTTTACATTTTACTTATACATAATATGCATGTTGAAAGTCTTGGCAATCTTATAGCTGAACCTTCTATCAACTTAAAAACTTTTTAAAAGAATCTTCAACTTTCGTCAAAACCGTCGAAATGATTCATACATTAATAGTTTCCAAGAAACAGGAATAGATAATTATAGTGCTTGCTGTTGTGTAGTTTTCTGCACTTTATTGTTTTGCTCAGCAGGAAAAAAACACAACTGCATATATCCCGCATACTCATACAAAACTAAGTGGCACTTTCAGTAACTTTCAGGATGTGAAAATGCCGACAGTTCTCCAGAAATGTGTCCACAAAGCAGCGTGATATCTCGTTTGTCCCAGTGCATTTAATGTAAGGCTAGTTTAGGTGAAAAGAAGCGGGAAGCGATTATGACAGCAATTTTTTCATAATGGGAACGTTTTGATGAT